GACCGCGAGCTCGGGGTCACTTCAAGTAACGCGTGAGGTTTTGAACCAGGGACGCAATAATTGTTGTTTTACGAAGGTTGCGTGAGACACCAGCGTCACATCAGACGCCTAGTTTTTTGTTAATGGCCGACCACCCCGAACGCCTACGATGTATCCATCCTGAACATCACGGTCCTATCCTGAAGGCACGGTAAGTGGGCAGGCAGAATAGCCAAGGCAGTGCACAGTCATAACGTGTCTTTCGGTACTAAGACGTGGCGGATTTCGTCCCAAAATATATCCATTCGACCGCCGTACATGGTAGTGAATGATACTGTCGTTTGCAAAATGAAACAATCTTACCCAGTGCGTATGGAGGAAGTTCTGATAGGCTGTATAAATCAACATCTCGTATTCACTGATCGATTCTGAAAAGGTAAGGGAGTCGGCTCCCATTGCCGGCCCAGTAGCCTTGAAAAGTGAAGGCGTGGCCCCCTGGGCCCCGGTTCCTACACCCGTGCCTAGACATACATATAGAATTGTCATGCCGTGTATACCATCATTTCAAACCACAGAGGCTCGTGGTGTCAAAACAGGACATAAGTGTATGCGTACAAGACCCTAATTCAGTGCCTTGTATTCCAAGATGCCATAAATACGTTGGTAGGTGGGAAAACGAACGCATCTCACCCTGGTAACCTATTTTTCACGCCAAGCCCCAGTCATAGACGCGTATGTAGAACGATAACGGAAATGTAACGATATGATCGGCCACCGTACGAGGCGCTAGCGGTCACATGATTAGATCTCAAATGGAGGCGCGTATGTCAACCACGAAACCGGAAAATTGACACACGGAGTCCCAAGGCAATTCCGTCCGCGTGTTAACTCAATGTAGTAGTTCCAAATACTCCCAGCTCCCCCAGGTGTTACGTATCATTTAACCCATCGTCTGATATGCCTGGGGGGGGGGGGGGGTTGATACGACCCCGTAAGTTTTCTGTCTGTGAATATCTCTAGCCTCTGGGACATTCACTGGGCTTGTTTTGACGCCAAAATGTTTCTCTCGCATTTCCGGCTTCCGAGAAGCGACGGTTTCTTAGGAGCGCTGCACGGCGCTGCACGCTCGGCGCGGGCTGAGAACGGAGCGCCAGCGGCATCCAATGAACCCTCGGATTGTACGCGGCGGGCCGATACTGCTGTATTAGGGGAGCCCTACATCATAATAATGTGCTCAAAGTGCATACAATACATATCATTGTAAGTAGAATCAAACAAGAGATACGCTTGCTCTCGTTTCATGGCACTACCGTACAGGGCTGGGGACATATGAACATGTTAAGATGGAATAGCTCAATTTTTGGGAAATTTGAAATTTGGCCTGGCTTAGGGGGTCAGTTATTTACCAAGTGACATAAAACTTGCCGCCCATTGTGTGATAATTATTGATACAAATCCACGGTTTGCCTCTGTTGGGTTTTATCGTTCCTAATTCAGAAACCCGACATCAGCTCGCGTTATGAAAAAAGCCCATCCAAGGCTAGGGTTAGGTGTGCACTACTTTTCGGCGATGCCTTGTGTCTGTCAGCGAGGGAAGTCGTATTCAGCTTTACTAAGCCATTGCGCCATTGTTGAAATAATTTTTGAATAACCCAGTCATTTCGCAGCAAAAAAAGCAATGACACACCATGATAAATGGTTGAACTGCCTACCTAATACTATACTACATTTTATTATATGTAAAATATATCATGTAATGCATATAAAATTATACAATTAAAATATAAACATATCACACTTACATATATTATAATAAATATATAATTAGAATACATATAATACATAAAATTATACCATACTTGATCGACGATACCTGAGAAAACTGGTAGCAATCAACGCACAAACAGTATTTAACAACGTTCAGGAACTCTTTTTCATCTGGAAACTCCAGAGACTTCAGGGCCTCCAGGAAGTCTTTGTTTCTTCTACAAGCGTCATATATGTCGGGCCAACCAGGAGCTCTTCGCTGCTTCTGGAAATGCAGTTAGACATTATGAGCTTCAGGAAATCCTTGCTGTGGTAACGCCGTTCAATGGAATAGAAACGCCTCCGCTGCTCATGAAAATGGCATATCCCGGCATGCATCTCGGCTCATCTCCTGGTGGACACTCTCTGAGCGGGTGACGCTCTAGGCGGTGTCCATCAGCCGTCGTCCTTCGTCGGCGACCACTGACAGACGGTCCTCTCGCCCGAGCGCCGAGTCGGAGCCGTCGGAGCGGACCTCACCGGCTGCGGCGTCCAGCCATGCACCCGGCGCCGGTCGTCCGGCCGCCTGTCCGCGTGCAAGCGGCCCGGGGTCGGTCAGTCGCGCCGGGGGGGGGGGGGGGGATGAGGAGGAGGTACCGCTGGGGCTGACCGGCTCGTGACGTGGCCGCGGTCTGGTCCCGGCGTTCGGAGACGTGTTGCCCCAGTCGTCATCGACCGCCGCTCATCACTGGAACTTCCGTTCAGCAAATCACGGTAACGCTGCTGAACTGAGTAGGAGTCGAGACGAGAGAGAGAGAGAGAGAGAGAGAAGAGATCAGAGAGAGAGAGAGAAGAGAGAGAGAGAAGAGAGAGAGAGCTAGAGAGAGAGAGAGGAGAGAGAGAGAGAGAGAGAGAGAGAGAGAGAGAGAGCGAGAGAGAGAGAGAGAGAGAGAGAGAGAGAGAGAGAGAGAGAGAGAGAGAGAGATAGAGAAGAGAGAAAGAGAGAAGAGAGAGAGAGAAGAGGGGAGGCGAAGAGATAAGAAGAAGAGAGAGAGAGAGAGAGAGAGAAGAGAGCAGAGAGAGGAGAGAAGATAGAGAGAGAAGAAGAGAAGAGAGAGGGAAGAGAGAGAGATGAGAGAGAGAGAGAGAGAGTCAGGGAGAGCTGAGACTCTCTCTTGGTTTGGTTCTAGGATCTGAACTTTCGTAGGAGAGCTAAGCGAGAGAGAGCGAGAGAGAGAGAGAGAGAGAGAGAGAGTTGCGGGCAAAGGACATCTTGTGTCTACCGATTCGTTTGCGGTAATTAATGCTTAGTGAAACAGAGTTCACTATCAAGTTGCTGACAAGTGGGGAAGGCTCAAGCATGCTAACACTTAGCAAAAACAATCATGTTGCAATGGTAACACACTCCGTCCAGTTGTTGTCCAGCAGTCCGCCAATGTCTGCAATGGCGCCGGGTATGGTTCATGACATGGTATGACATGATGACACCATTAGCGGAGAGCTCCGATCGCAACATCATAAGCCACAGGTACAAACACGGAGGGGAAGGCGATAGTATGAGGATCAAGCTGCGCGTGTGGAAAATCAGAGATATGGGGTACGGGGTTCGATTCCCCGCGGTGCCCGCCCTTCCTGTCAGGGTGACAGGCAGGCGGCGACGTAGAGCCCCAATGGCTGAGCCCGTCGTAAAGCCCCAATGACGCAAAAACGGCATTCGCGTCTTCCGAAACGGGTTGTGGAACGGGACCCGAAGTCCGTATTGTGCGTCGGAGGCGCCGTGACCCGGTGTGACGTCACTGGGGACGGTCTGACGGCCTCTGCCGGCGCACGATCGGCGATGACATCATCACGGCAGACAAAGCGTCTGGCGGCGCGGCGCGGCCCGAGAGGTCTTACACCACACTCTACAGCATGTGCCAATGCGGTTCTTTCCGGTGGGGTGACCCGGCAAAGGCCGCATGAACCCAGACATGCGGCGGGTGAATCTGCTCCTCATTTGAGGTCGGCGCCGTGCTAATGGGAGTGATCTATCCCTGGTAAGATTGGACCCGAACCTGGAGCGATTACAGTTTTGTTGATGTAACTGGCATCACATATGATCTCCCCGAACCCGTACGTATAAAGTATGTCGGGTCAGTACACAAGTCAGGGAACATGATCCAGTAAAATAATACACATGTTGCAGGTCATTTGCGGCAAGGACGTAATCAAAGGGGGTCCTACACGGGCCAGAAGCTCCATCAGACGGAAGCTTTGCGAAAAAACAGATGGAAGGAGACAAATTCAGCATTTGATCCCTCCCTGAGGCGAGGTCTGGTTACATTCTTTATTCGCTGGTAGCACCCGATGTAGAAGAATATATAACAGAGCATGTGATGTCAGTCTGGCACGCAGCCAGAATTTTACTAAGTCATGGAGAGGGGCAAACACCAATTTGTATCCAGAATCGCGAGGATTTGGACAGAAATCCTGCAAAATCACACATAGACCTCTTGACTCAAGACGGGAGATGCCCCCGTGTCCTCTCCCCGTTCCCCTATTGCCTGCGCCGCTGATTTCAGAATGCCACTTTATTTGTCTTGAGTCGGCGCACTGATGATTTTTCTCGGTGCGCATGGCTACATTCCATTGTGGACGTCATTACATTATTAGAAGAATAAATCATCCTGCCATATAGCAGGCACTGGGAGGGTTCTGGGATGGGGATGGGTTCAGGCCTCTAAAGTTTTTAGTTTTGCCTAGAAACTACCCAACATTTTCCAGGCCCCAACAGTGTAGGTGAAATTTTACCAATCACACCTGTCACTGCAGATCCGTAGGTAACCGGTTACTACTGGAACCGATTCCCGTCCCATCCTGAGCCAAGCACGGGTCTGCGAGCTGTGATAGCGTGTAACAGCCACATGAGGTCGGCGTAGCGGCCCTCATTTGCAGGACATCACAATGTCATGGCGCAACTGTTCAGCGTTCCATTACTTCTAACCGCCATAGCTCATTCACCCAGCACAGTTCAGGCATTAGTCTAAGTCAATATTCCGAACCAAACGAACGCCTCCGATGTGTGACGTTTGTTTCATCATGTCAGCTAGCCCCACCGCCTCAGCTGGGCGTGATCAGGGTTTGATGTGTCGGTGGTGGAGGTCCGACCTCGGTCGCTTCACTTGTTCACCTTGGATCCCTCTCTCGATCCGCCCAGTCGGTGGCGATTGCAGCGCCGCCACGCGGCCAAAACCGCGCCGCGGGCGATTCCACTTTCTCCGGCCGCCGAGGCGACTGAGAGTCGGAGCGCACACTGGTGGCAATACAGCGCCGTCTCACCGCAGAAACCGATCGTGATCGGGTGCGTGTGTGTGTGTGTGTGTGTGCGTGTGTGTGCGTGCAACCGGAAGCGCCACCGTTGTGACAGGAGGTCAGCTGAAAAGGTGGGGCCAACAGCGTCCCAGCAGACGACGACTGCTCTGCAGTGGGGCCGTGACCTTGATTTGGCTTTTCACGTGCGTCATCCGGGTTGCTGACGATTTAGAAACCTGGCGTTTCTTAGTGGCTTTTCAAAGCCAATTCTTGCGCATCGGAAGTGGCATATGTTTATCAGTTCAAGGCCTGGCGTGGCATTCGTCGGTGAGACGTTTTCCTCGTGCTCCTGTCTCAGTCAAGCTACCTAACGATCCAGTTGTGTTTGCAGCCTGTACCCCTGTGAGTGGTTTCCGGTGGTCATAACTTTTTCTCTTTTATCTAGACGTGTAGTGCTACCCAATTCCACGGTCTTCCGTTTACATTCTGTGAACATTCAGTATCCCTTTTGCAGTCTGTGAAAGTTGACCATTGGCTCTGACAGCCAACTTGAGGCACATTTGAGGCCACCCCAATGCTCAACCTGTGCGACACTTGCATGATATTCCCACTAGCACTGCATGTCACAACACCAGACAATATGTCTGCATTGCGAATCAGAACAGTTGTGTTAAACAGTGCTGAAATGTACTGCCTTCTACTGCTGCCGATGGTGTATAGGCACGCGTTGCAGCTCTGGTCAGGATCCGGCATCATTGAAACGCGACACGTCAATCACAGCCGTAGGCCCTGCCTCATGTATAGCAATCACTATATCCGACTCACCGCTCGATGCTTGGTAATGCCACTTTTCCTCCCTTTTAGTAGCTCGCACATTAATCACGCCCTAGTATTCAGAAAGCTCACATCCTCCGACATAAAAATTCGACATAACTTATATCCGATACGGCAGACCCTCTTCGTGTTTGACAACTCAAGTGTGCCGACCTCTCTGGTCGTGCGTTGTATACGCCTCACTCTGGAACAGGAATCCCTGCGCTGGGAAAGACAATAGCGTTTTTACTACGGTACTGCGATGTGCGAAATACATCGCACGACATGGATACTGGCCCAAGCACCCCCCCCCCCCCTCCCTATGCTGCTGAAAGCACATCTCTGATGCGTTCCCGCTAACTGTGATCACTCCTGCCCACAGTCGGGTGCCAGTAACCCGTCGTCATGCAGGCCCGCTGGCTGACGGCGCTGGCGGCGCTGGCGGCGACGGCTGCGCTGGCGGCGGCCAAGTGGGAGCCGCCGCCGCCTCGCTTCACCTGTCCGGTCCGCGCCATCGTGCACTTCCCGTGCGTCTGCACGGCTGGCGGCGACGTGGGCATCCACATGCGCTGCGACAACACCAACCTGGCGCAGCTCGGCGTGGCGCTGCGCAACGTGCGTGTGCCGATCGACTCCCTGACGCTGTCCAAGTGCACCATATCGCGGCTTCACGGCGGCCTCTTCCACTCGGTGTCCGCGCGCACGCTGCGGATCGAGGACACCCCGATCCGCAGCATCGGGCCCGACACGTTCGCCGGCATCAACAGCACCCTGCTCAACATCACCCTCTCCAACACACGGCTGGCCGAGGTGCCCGTGGAGGCGTTCGCCCTGCTCACCAACACATCCGTGCTGGAAATTATTGGCTCCGACATCTCCTTCATCCCCGAGGCGGCGTTCGGCGACATGGGCAAGCTGACGGACCTCGTCATTCAGAAGGCGAACATCAGCTCGTTTCATCCGAAGGCGTTCGTGGGACTCAGGAGCCTGAAGAAGTTGTCGCTGGCTTACAACAACCTGACTTCGTTGCCAACAAAGGCCCTGAAGTTCAACACGAGACTGAACAACTTGGACCTGGCGCACAACAACTTCGAGGAGCTTAAGTCACACTTTTTCAAAGATTCCAAGCAGCTCGTTTGGTGCAACATGTCACACAACGCGATCAACAGTCTGGGGCGGGGCACATTTAGCAGGAACGGCCAGCTGGGTTACCTAGACATGGGCCACAACAAAATGACGAGCATTGGAGCTAACGAGTTTCGATCGATGCGTCTCATGCGGCGACTATTCTTCAACGACAACAACATCACCCGGGTGGGGAGAGGCGCTTTCAGGGCCATTCGGAGGGTGGGTACTTTGGACTTCGCTCGGAACCAGCTGAAAGTGATCGACTACCAAATGTTTTACGAGCTGGAGTATCTCGAGGTGGTCAATATGCAAGAGAACCAAATCACCGAAGTCCAGGAGAAGTCGTTCAAGGACTTGTACTTGACGTCTATAAATATCAGTCACAACCAGATCACGGAGATAAGCGAAAACGCCTTCATCAACTGCAACAACATGACGTTCCTCGATTTGAGTTATAACAACCTTACCGGGCTCCGTGACGATACATTCGACGATACCTCGGACCTGACCGAGCTCCGGCTTCAATACAACTTCCTGACGAACATGTCGCAAATACCGTTTGAAAAGTTCTCCCTTATTCGAATTCTGAACGTGTCGCACAACATGATTCAGGAGATACCAAGACGGACGTTCCCGGACCTGTACGAACTTCATACGATAGACGCCAGCCATAACCAAATCAGTAAGATCGCCAGCACCGTTTTCACCACGCTTTTCTCGTTACGGCACCTGGATCTCAGTCACAACCTGATGGAGGAGATGAAGGGCTCCACACTGGGCACGCTGCCCTCCCTCCTGGACGTCGACGTCAGCCACAACCGGTTGCAGAAGGTGAGCGCCGCGACCTTCCGCGAGCTGAGCTCGCTCCGGGAGCTGCACATCGAGCACAACCTGCTCGACAAGGCTGTCAGGATCCCGCAGTCGCTCTCGAAGCTCTTCATGTCCAACAACCTGATCGCCAGCATCCGGCCGGGCCGCATTTGGCCCACGATGAACTCGCTGATAGAGCTGGATCTCGACAACAACCTGCTGGCCGACAACCTCGAGTCGCGCTCGTTCGAGTCGCTGCGCACCGTGCGCTACCTGCACCTGCGCAACAACTCGATCACGCTGCCGCCCTGGCAGGCGCTCGCCGACCTGACAACGCTGCAGCATCTCTACTTGGACGACAACAACATCACCACTATCGGCCGAGGCGCCTTCGGAAAGATACTCGTGTTGTTCGAGCTGACGATGCGGCGGAACGGCATCACGAACGTGGCGCAGCGGGCGTTCGAGCAGAACCAGCAGCTCATCAACCTGACGCTGGCCGAGAACAACATCGACTTCATCCCGAACGAGGCATTCAAAGGTGATTATCGATGACTGTGACTTTGCTTTCTTACTACATTTCTCTTTCTCATTCTCATTTCATCTCTTCATTTCTCATTTCTCACTCTCATCTCTCTTATCCATTTTCAAGCTGTCGTTCATAACACGTTGAAGAATATGATTTTGACCCTAAACCCCACAGTGCTAGGCAGTTAAGTCACGCTATTGCTGCAACAACCCTGCTTCGTATCTCATGTGAGAATGCATCCAATGTAAATGGACAGCATTGCCCAGCTTATTCCGTACCATTTTCTGAGAGCATGATACGGGTACTGTTTTACGCTATTCTTCCGTTCTCAGGTCTTGTTGCGCTCAACAAACTCGACCTGTCCCATAACAATCTGGTCCAGATGAACAACAAAACGCATGGCCTTTTCGATGACTGTCTTTCTCTCAGAAAGGTAAGCCATGTCGACCGCAGAGACAGTCTAGGGCGTCTACTTTCGCTACACATGACTTAGGCTGTCGCTTAAGATATCTGTAGATGAAGCTCAAGGACGCGGGAACCGGGGGGGGGGGGGGCAGCTCACGGGCCCCCAAACTTGAAACCTGGGGGGGTCTTTAAAAGGCCAGAATAATCCTCTATGAGCTAGAGTGGGCCTTCCAGCCAATAACGAACCATCTACAGATTACAATGAGCTTCTACAGGCGGGAATCGGCCCTCCATAATAAAAAATTGACCATCTTCAGGTCAGAATAAGCTTTTAGAGGTTTACATAAACCCCATAATGCCCCGGAATGAGCTTATAGAGGTTTACATAATCACCCTTCAATATGGAGGGCCTGTTGATAATCCACTCTGGTATGTTAAGGGCAATTCTGAACAGTAAGGGGACTTCTGAACTATTGACAGTCGAAGGGCCCTCGACAGTCAGTTCTGAGAGGCCATCGGGCCTATTCTGGTCTGTACATGGCTCGTTCTTACCTGTAGAAGGCTCGCAGGGGATTAAGGTAGAGATAAGGTAGCTCGTAGAGACTCAGGTTCGTAGAGGGCCCATCATTTTCTGTAGTTCTCATGATTATCACCATTATGGATTTTTGAGGGCCAATTTCTGACTATCGAGTGCCATCTTTGACCTTTGGAGGACCCGTTCTGGTCCGCAGAGGGCCCATTCTGACCTGTGGGAGGCCTATTACAGAGGGTTCGTTCGGGTATGCAGAGGGCCTGTCATTGACTGTGGAGAGCCCTTTCTGGTTTGCAGTGGACCCATTCTGACCTGGAGATGGCCCATTACTGACTGTGTAGTGCCCATTCTGGTCCATAGACACCCATTTGGGTCTGTCAGCGGCATCCCATTGAATGTAGGGTTCACTCCGTCCCGTAGTAGGCCCATTCTGGCCTTAAGAGTACCCATTTTGGCTTTTAGAGGACCCATTCTGTGCCATAACCTTTGCCGCGCATTCTAGACAAACCTCGGCCCCAAACTAAACCAGCGGGCGCACACCTCAAGGCTTGTGCCATGGGTGCATTTAGCCCGCGCGCACATGTGATACCAAGATAGGACATTGAATTTATCAAACCTTCTACCCCTTCTCGTTTTTCTTCTTTTATTTTCAAACCCGTTTCAATCACTGACTCACAAATTATACATTTATTATCTTTTTTAATATCATTTCTTCCCTTGTTTGCTCGATTTTTCAACCATTTTATGCATCACCTTGTTGGCTTCCACGATACAGCCGAGGCTATTTGGTCGAACATGCTTGCGCTTGAACGAAGCGGTGAGTCGCATAAATGACGTCACGCATGTTGTGCCTAATTACATGCGCCGTCTTTAAATCCAGCAAACTTCTGGAACAAAGCGGAACCTTAATGACTAATAGTAGAACCAGAAGAAGGATGATTTGAAAAACCAAAAAAGAATGCCAGAAAATATGTTCCCGCTCTGTCAACGATTTAAAAGACTGCAGAAGTCAGCGCTTTCAGGCCTCCACCACCACTGGAGCAGCACCATTTTGACAGCCCTTTTAAGCGTGGACGTAACACCAACACCACTGGCGTTGTTGGGGCGTGGATCCTGGTATCTCTGACGCAGATTGGGCTAGTTTTGTGTTTTGACGAAACATAATGTCCTGGGAACAAAAATGAACCTTTTTAATATGTAAATCAGAGGTACGTTTACGCTTGTAATCACGCAAAACGCGACGGGGTCTCCGTGACCACTGTGAGGTTCTCAGGGAACAGTTTTACAGGCACTAAACGCACAGCGCTCGGCGTTACAGTAACCAAGCTTTCGAGACTTCTTACGTCTCCCGTGAAAATTCGAAGCCCTATCCACCACGGGGTTCGAGTGGTACCCATGTTCGTCGCATTCCACGTTCAAGCGGCCGATATCATCCGCTTGTTGTGCAACATGCGTTCGAAAGGGAATACTTACACCACTTTTCTTGTGTATCTTTCCTAATTTGGAACTAATGATGTTGACCCATATTCCAGCGACAAAAAGCTGAAAGTTTTTTCGTCCTCCGTAACGTGGCCATGCCATAATGTCACAAAATTCGAATTCTTCTTGAAAACAGCCCATTAGAAGAAACGACAAGACATATCCAAATTTATGGCTACTGCCGGACAGTCAACGCAGGCGACACAAACCACCATTGGCCTAGGTCACGTGCCTGGAGGAGCTAAGCGCCTGTGTTATGTGATGGCGTAATCTTGCCGAAACTGCGACTAGTCCATCCACACTCACCGCGGCATCACCAAACCAGGCCACTGGCAATGGTGTGCAGTGATCTATTATGGGGCAGTGCCGGGTTCGTTAATGCTTCACCCAGTGCCGTTCGTGAGAAGCTCGCCGCTGCGTCGCTTGTCGATAGTGCGTACCATACGTCTCGGTCGGGCACCGACCTCCTTCAACAGCGTTTCATCACATCGGCACATCTATTCGTTATTCATTACGCAGCAGAATGAGAGGTGAAAAGTTCTCCTCGCCCATTAGCAAATGACGAAACTGGACCGAGCTTCTGTCCAAGGGCCATCACATTGTGTGTGCGATGTGTTATGACCCGATCGGCGAACAGACACGCCGGACGGTGTGTCTCATGCGGCCCCATTGGTCTGCCGCAGCTGAACCTGTCCTACAACAAGATCTCGCAGATCCACAAGAAGACGTTTCCGTACAGCAAGTGGGTGCCGTATCGTCTGGAGGAGTTGGACCTCTCTTCCAACAGGATGGCCGTCATCGGCCGTGACTTCACCACAGGCCTGAAGGACTTGAAGAAGCTCAGTTTGGCCAACAACTCACTCATCGAGACCAGACAGTGTGAGGCGCCGCTCTGCGTTTATGTCTGAGCATGAACCACCAGACTACAATAGCTAGTTGGTCACACTTTCTGTTAGACATGTGACATATTGTGAGAGATGTTCAAACGCCAGCGAAATGCAGGTGAGCTGTCTCATATGAAGTGTTGACGGGTGTATGACTGGATCCCGTCGGCTCCGTTCACAGATGTTATGGGTAACCTGACAAAGCTGCAGGAACTGGACCTGTCCCACAACCAACTGACTCACTTCCCTGAGAACTCCATCGGACCAAATGTACGTATCATCTAACAACATCATAGCATAGCTGTGCGATGGCAGTTGCCAGCCGGTCACATTTGATGATTCCAACAGCCGAGAGCTCTTTCTGGGACGCGAGTTCACATGGTCAAATGACGCGAGTTAAATGGCCTTTCCAGCGCGCGGGTGTGCCGCGCCCCATCGGCTGAGTCACGAGAGCGAGTCATCTTCTGATGTCAATGTTTGTTCATATCAGCCATTTTTGGTGCGAGCCGTGCTTCCTGCTGAGGAGAAAATTGCGGTGCTCCCAGCAAACTGTGTGAAGCACGCCCTAATTACACCTTGCCACTCGGTATGTCACCGATGCCGCCAAAGCCCACCCCTGCATGTGAGTGTAACAATCCTCCCCGCCTGGCCAGCCGATACAAGACTGCAGTTTGTGCCACCTCTTGGCGCGTTTGGATGCTGAGTGGACAATGCCGCGTTCGTTATGCGCATTAAAAAGGGTAAAGTGAAATTTGTGCCCTGACAGCTGCTATGTACTGCGTCGCCCTTAAACAGAGCAACTCTAGTGAAACTAGTGAGTTCTTCGCGCCATTCCTGGTAACATTTTCGGTAGTATTTTATGACTGAAGTAAGTTTATCAGCCTTTAAGGTCAATTGAAGCCTATGCGTAGCATGATCTCTTGTGTTTTTTTCTAGCTAGGTATGTTGATGCTAATGTAAGTATGCTTTTACTCCGCTACGCCAGCTTTGGCGCGGCCAGAAAACTCTGGCCCACCAAAACTGGGGCGGCTGAATAAAAACACCCTTACACAGGCAAGATCTTTTGTCTATGACCGATTTCAGACTACCTTTTGCACTCACCGATCGGAAACCAATTTGTGGTCTTTCCGCTAGAAAGATGACCTAGTTGACCGCAGATAGGTCTGCAACTTGCTTTACTGCGTAACTATTGCCTGGACCGGGAAGGTCACAATTGACCGCGTGGGGTTGACAACGGACTTGATCATGCGATTGAGTAGCATGCCCCTCGGGTTTTCTATCCATACCGCATAGCCTAGGGGCTCCGGCTCGGAAGGCTTGCGGGTGCACGCACCTCCGTCATACGCGGACCGTATGGGCTCGGAACGCCCACGGGTACATGCATCCTCTTTATACGTGGACTGTATGAGTTGGACAGGTGTTGCCCCACCTGTCTGCCGAAGGCTCAGCAGGCTGCACATTCCATTGGCGTTGGCAGTTTCGGGCCAGTTCATTCAAGCTTACTAGACTCATGCCACATCGTAAACTATAATTTCACATGTCAGAACAAGCGTCTCGTATCTGCGATGTCATGCTCGTGAATTTCCGCCCTTTCCAGCCAGTCCATGCTGAAGCTGAAGCTGAGCCACAACTTCTTGCTCATGCTGCCGATGGAGGCGCTGTCCACAATGAAGAACCTCACGCTGCTCGACGTCTCACACAATCGGATCCGTCGCTTCTACGACCAGCTCATGCCATGGATCGAGAATGGCACGCGCGTACTATACCACGGTACGCTGCGCTGACCAAAAAAACAGATGATCGCTAAATGATCTGGGGTGACGGCCGCTGGAGTGGCGGTCGTCCATCATTCCAGAGATCATAATGGCAGGCTGTCAGTTCAGTGGAGGCGTCCCTCGGCGCAGATCATTGGCTTTGCGGCCATTTGAAAATGGCGCGCAGAAAAGGCCAAAAGGTCAATAATCTGAATGGTTCACTGGTGTGCAGGACACAGGTAACAAATGATGGTCAAACCGGCTTTTTGCTGTACCTAACGCGCATGAGCAAGCATGAAGTAGTTGTTTTCTTGCACAAAACATGCGATACTATTACGTCCCGTTGGTGCCACAATTGAAACGTTTCCACGACCACGCTGAAAGTCTTAGAGTGTGGTGAAAGTTCCTAAGAGTCCGTGCCATTGTTGGGATATAAGCACGTCTTTGAGTACATGCCATTTCTGGCATGCTCTTGAATTGGCAAGTCATGTACGTTGACATGTTATGAAACATACATTTTCGTGCCCTGAGTGTTACGAGCGTGTTACAAGGAGACACACGAGTACCTTGTTAAACTTGCGACAGTTTTTTTGTTTGTTGTTGTCTGCTTTGACCTTGAAACAGGTTTCACTGTTTAGTCCCTGCTATCGGTAATAACGTTTATCTTATTGGTTTGTTAACTACGAAGTGCATTACCGGGCATTGACGGCCTGAAGCGATTGCATTCGACTAGCGTGATTTAAAATGGGGGTGCTTAGTAGAGTTCATGAGAACGGCAAATCTCCCACTATCATGCCCGGGACCACATCCAACACGCGCGCGTCTCCCGTGGCGCGCAGGTGACTCCTTTCCCCATCGCCAGGAAACCAGATGCGCTGCGACTGCAGCCTGCGCCCGCTGCGCTACTGGATGGATGACCGCATCTTCGACCCGAGCTCGCCGTGGCACCACGTGACCTGCGACTCACCCGAGGACGTGCGCGGCCAGACGGTGACGGCGCTCGACGTCAAAACGCTCACCTGCATCGGACCGGAGCAGGGTGGCCAGCGCTATCGCCAGAAGCCCGACATCATCTTCCGCAGGGTCGACAGGTGAGCGCCGAGAGCGGCCGACCACCCGCACACCCCGCCGTCGGCGCTAGCTGTCGGTGCTGCTGGTGCCACCGCGAACAAACGCTCAGCGTGGTGCGCTCATGGCTGGTGTATTCCTCACGCGCCGTGCGCCGAGGCACCCCCGGCGGGCTGCGAAGCCCACTCTGACACGCGGCCGCCGTTTCAGCCGCGAGGACGGCTCGCTCGACCTCTCCTGGTACGTCAACACACGCGAGGACATCGGCGACTTCGTGGTGCTGGCACGCGCGCTCAACGAAACGCGGCCCAGCTTCACGGAAGCCGTGACGTACATGGATCGGCGTGCGCACGTGGCGCGGCTCGGCGCCGGCCAGCGACACCTGGTGTGCGTGCGCGCGCTCACCTCCAGTGGCGGCCTGCGGCCCTACGTGGACGGCCAGTGCCGCACCGTGTCGCCGGCGCCGGCGCTCCGCGCCACGTTCGCACTCGTGGCGGCAGCGCTGGTGGGGTGGAGGGCGCTGCTCTAGCCAGCTGGACGACCCATGCAGCACCAGCGTCCCCGGCAGCGCAGCGGCCAGGCCTGGGGCTGCTTGCGCGGCACGCTCGGATCGAGAAGCTTCGCGTGCCGTGAGTGGAGGGGTCTGCGCAGCGGCAGGTCCTGACATCTCCCAGAGAGTGCTAGTCGTGGCACAAGACGCGCCCTGAGGTCCGGGGTGCGCCACGCAATGGCTCCTACACTGTTCGAGCCTAATATCACGAGACAGACGACAGACGCATTGAGCACGCCTGACCGGACGACCGAGCCGAGGCGCAGTTGGCCAAGGCTCGGTTTCGGCGGGGCCAGACTGGGCTCCCGCCTTCGGTCCACGTCCGATCTGAGGCCGTGGGACGCCGACCACGCGGACCGGGGTGCCAGTCATGCGGCGGTGGCCGAAGTGTCGGCGGCCACGGCTGGCAGCCGCGAGGTGGGGAAGCGTGGCGTCTAGTCATGATTGGCGATAGAGTCCTAGCACAGCGACAGCAATGCTTCGATACCGAATGCTCTTAGCGAGCTCCCCACTGCACACCATCTGGCACTTGACGGTAAACAGTGAGCGACATGTCAGTAGAATATTTAGTAGTGCTATTGGACCAGGTTGTTTACATGACTGCAGTACCACGCAGCTCATTCGTTGAAGACCGCTGCGCATGGCTGTCAGCCTAGCTGCCGTGTTACAAGAGCAGATGCTCAAGTGCAATTCGTAACGAAAATGTAAATATATGTTACAAATGCATAAACGTGTGGCACAGCGTTTATGGCACGGGATACGCCAGCAGACCACGAGACTGATCCAGTCTCCTATTTGAGCCGCACGTCATGAACCGGCATGCGAGCAGCCACTTTATGTACATTCAGAACAGGACGTCACCACCGCAGACAAGAGCTGGATGACCACCGCGGCCTGAAGCAGATGATGCCAGCTGCCCAGCAGACGGAGCGGGACGTGACCCGTGCACGCGAACACGGATGACCACCACGGCCTGAAGCGGATGATGCCTTGCAAACGGAGCAGGACGTGACCCGTGCACGCGGACACGGATGACCACCGCGGCCTGAAGCGGATGATGCCAGCTGCCCAGCAGACGGACCAGGACGTGACCCGTGCACGCGAACACGGATGACCACCGCGGCCTGCAGCGGATGATGCCTTGCAAACGGAGCAGGACGTGACCCGTGCACGCGAACACGGATGACCACCGCGGCCTGCAGCGGGTGATGCCAGCTGCCAACCAGACGGAGCAGCACGTGACGCATACGCGCGAGCCAGTTGGTCCGCCACGCGCTGCCAATGCGGGGTGGCCATGTTACGACTCGCGTTGATCAGCAGTCTGCAGACTCCCGCCAAAGGGCGGGGGTGACGCGGACTGCGAGTGAAGATCGTTTCTGCCTTTAGTGTACTATTGCACATTAAGGCCATGGCGACGGTTGAGGTGGTTTTAAACCAAGTACGTTTAAACCAAGTTTCGCCGCTGATGCTAGCGAAAAAAACTAGATTACTTCATACGTTTCAAGCCAGGTTAGGCAGCCTGAGCGAACAGCGTGGAACGGAGGCATATCAAGGATGTCTGCTTTCACATGCCTTGTTTCCTGTTCAACATACCGCACACAAAGTGTTCTTTAATGCGTGCGTTCCCACTGTAGGACCACCTCACCTGGCATTGATTCTGTGACTAAACTGTAAAGCCTCCAGCACTTCGCTCTCACGGTACGCACAAACCAGCGACTTGTAAAAGGCCGACGCTCAGTCATTTGAGATGCCTCAGACAAGCTGAGGTGCCCTTTATGCGCATGAGGTAGTCATGTTGTACTCTGTTGACGATATTTCTGCGTTTCCACCGGAGGGCCGTGGAGCTGCATCCCAGTTCTCAAGATATCTTTCTTGTTTCGGTCTTGGTGTGGGACAAGACACTGACCGGCGCTCCGTGGAGCACGTTTAAACGCGTCTGGCTTCGCAAACCAACACCGATAGTCAAACTTTATTGTTCTGTCCTGCAACCTAGCGTGAGACGACCAGAATGTGGAAGATGCTGATAGTGTTTTTTTCTTTACAATGACGCTGTATCATGAACGTGCAACTAATATGTATAGCGCTAAGTTACGCTCTATGTCATGCCATGCCAGACCTATCTCCCAATGCACTAAATGGAAAAGATCTTTACCAGTAAGGATTGCAAACAAGACGGATAAGCTCCAGCATTTATATTCGACCATTATTACGGCACAACAACTCAAAGCCACATATAAGTTCAATTGTCAGTGCATGAAGTAATTGACTAGAGATGTTCACGGCAGCATAAGCACACACCAGACCCTACATGAGCATTCTGGACGGACTAGTATCGAGCTCACAGCGGCCGGCATCGCACTGCCTTTGTCTTTTTCACCAGAAACGTACATGGAGGTTAAGGGAGCGAAATCTCGACCCTGAGATCATGCGAAGATAGCCACATCACAGCGCAAGCACCGGCAGCAGCCAGCGGCAGATGCTCCCCTCTGGTGACGAGATCGGTAAACACGGCTCCATCGGTAGCAACATGGCCGCCTCAACCGATCAGATCGCGAGACCTAATGACGAGGAACACGGCAATGCGCCCAAGCGACATCCAGTTCATCTGCGGTTGCCATGGAAGCTGAGAGAAAACACAATAAGCCGCACGGAGAACGAAAAACAGCGCTCCTCAGGGCGCAGCATACGAGACAATTAACAGATGTACAACAGCCGACAATACCGCGAACTCAAACAGGATGACAACACAGCAACGACATTTGAGTAATATGGTATTCGAGCAAATACAACTACCTTCAAAGCATGCAACTCTCATTTCCAACGTACGACACACATCGACAAATAAAACAGGACATCTAACGGCCTCCGAAACGCATTTGCCTGATTATCATGTACCCGTGACGAAGATAACAGAGACTCCGCTGGCCGATGTACAGCGGCAGCAGGCGTGGACGGAACTGCTCCGGATGCTGCGGATGGAGATTACAGAGACTCAGCTGGCCGATGTCCGGCGGCAGCAGACGTGAGCGGGACTGCTCCGGATGCTGCGGACGGAGATTACAGAGACTCCGCTGGCCGATGTACGGCGGAATCAAACGTGGACGGGACTGCTCCGCATGCTACGGACGGAGATTACAGAGACTCCGCTGGCCGATGTGCGGCGGCAGCAGACGTGGACGGGACTGCTCCGGATGCTACGGACGGAGATTACAGAGACTCCGTTGGCCGATGTACGGCGGCAGCAGACGTGGGCGGGACTGCTCCGGATGCTGCGGATGGAGATTACAGAGACTCCGCTGGCCGATGTACGGCGGAATCAAACGTGGACGGGACTGCTCCGGATGCTACGGACGGAGATTACAGAGACTCCGCTGGCCGATGTACGGCGGCAGCAGACGTGGACGGGACTGCTCCGGATGCTACGGACGGAGATTACAGAGACTCCGCTGGCCGATGTACGGCGGCAGCAGACGTGGGCGGGACTGCTCCGGATGCTGCGGATGGAGATTACAGAGACTCCGCTGGCCGATGTACGGCGGAATCAAACGTGGACGGGACTGCTCCGGATGCTACGGACGGAGATTACAGAGACTCCGCTGGCCGATGTACGGCGGCAGCAGACGTGGACGGGACTGCTCCGGATGCTACGGACGGAGATTACAGAGACTCCGCTGGCCGATGTACGGCGGAATCAAACGTGGACGGGACTGCTCCGCATGCTACGGACGGATATTGCAGAGACTCCGCTGGCCGATGTACGGCGGCAGCAGACGTGGACGGGACTGCTCCGGATGCTACGGACGGAGATTACAGAGACTCCGCTGGCCGATGTACGGCGGAATCAAACGTGGACGGGACTGCTCCGCATGGTACGGGCGGAGATTACAGAGACTCCGCTGGCCGATGTACCGCGGAAGCAGACGTGGACGGGACTGCTCCGGATGCTGCGGACGGAGATTACAGGGACTCCGCTGGCCGATGTACGGTGGCAGCAGACGTGGACGGGACTGCTCCGGATGCTACGGACGGAGATTACAGAGACTCCGCTGGCCGATGTACGGCGGTAGCAGACGTCGATGGACCTGCTCCGAAAACTGCAGAGGCAGCTTAAGTGGAATGACTGACTGACTGACTTCATTGACCAACACGGCGATGGGAGACCTGGATAGAGCCTGGGTGACCGATGCAGGGGTAACCGATATTAAAAGAATCCCACTGAGCTTAAGCACTACCTTGCAGGGAGGGTGGGAAAATATCCCTCCGTTGCAGAATTCGCAACGACCTCCGGTACCCATCAGGTGTTGGTCACAGAGCCCAGCAGGCGGAGCGGATGGCAGGCTCATGCACACCTCTCGAATGGTTAGGACTAGTTCCGGGATCGCAGCTCGGATATCGACTCAGCGCAGCTGGTCCAGGTGTACATAACGGAGAAGACAGCGATGCATCAAAACAGGTTCCGAGCTATACCCAACCATTCTCTTCGACAGGCAACATCAAAGGATCGGACAGCAAAATCAGATAAAAAGAATGACAATACAACCACAGCAGAAGAAATGGTAGCCGGCTGACGCAGATCATAGCACAACGTCATTACCGTAACGGCAGTCAAACACAGCAACCAAGGCAAGCAGGGATCCGAGAAACCGAGGCAGTCGCTGTGACAGAGCGCGGGCAGCCCGCGGCGCCGTCAGCGAGCAGCCAGCACGCGCGCGCTGGCGGTGCCCGTGCCGCTCCGGACCGACTGGCGACGCGTCCGCCGTGTTCGGTGCCGGTCACTCGGCGGTGGCGTCCATCATGTGCAGCAGGTCCGGCTGGTCGCCGGCCGACACATCCACCGTCATGTCCTGCATGACCCGCTCCAGGTGTCGGCAGTGCTGGCGCGTGCCCACCACCGGCGCGCCGCCGTCCTCGGTCGGCTCCCTACGGCCAGCCAGCGCACGTCACACGCGCCGAGTGGGAGGGGGACAACCGGCGGCGGACGGCACAGACGACGCAACGGAAACGGAGACCGACGAGCCCAAACTACGGGCACGAAAGACAACGGAGACAACAGGGATAAGGGACAGCGCAGACAGGACACGGAAAAGACGAGCGATGCCAGGGGTGGTAGACAGCAGCACAAGCGGGACACGGAGGACACGAGCGATGTCAGGGATGACAGACGTCAGGGACCGCAGACGGCGCAGACGGGACACGGAGGACACGAGCGACGTCAGAGATGACTCACGCCAGGGACGTCAGGGACGGCAGACGGCGCAGACGGGACACGGAGGACACAAGCGATGTCAGAGGTATTAGACGTTAGGGACGTCAGGGACGGCAGACGACGCAGACGGGACACGGAGGACACGAGCGATGTCAGAGATATTAGACATCAGGGTGTCAGGGACGGCAGACGGCGCAGACGGGATACGGAGGACACGAGCGACGTCAGATATATCAGATGTTAGGGACGGAAGACGGTGAAGCCACGACGCGACAAAGACGAGAAACGGAAAACAACAGAGAAGGGAGGTACGCACGTCAGTCGCGCGGCAGTCTCCAAAGACAGCAGACCGCTGTACACACGTCAGCGAAGGGAAAACGAAACCACATCCCTAAGTACAGTCCTACAACAACTGCGACAGACAATCGCCTGCAGACACAGCCGGTGCACGGCACGGTCAGCAGACGGAATAAGCACATATCAGCGGATTCGGCAGGCTCGGGCGCTTTTGCCAGACCCCACCGGCCGTA